TCATCTTAAGGTTAATGAATCTAAATAAATCAACAAGCAAATTCAAAGACATCCGGTGTCCTTTGTGAGAGATACATGTATGTCATATTTTATGGCATATTGTGTCAAATATGAACGCCCTATCATGTCATTCAGAAGTTATCACCAAAATTGATTTTTTTAGATTAAGGTCAATTTTCAAGGTCAAGATCATGAGATTAAAATCATGGTGTATTTAGAAAGGTCTTAAGCTTGTCACAAACGATACACATCTTTATAATGAAAGACCGATCTCTTTTCATTCAAAAGTAATGGCCAGTTTTAAGTAATCTTAAACAAATTTTTAAAGTAGGTCAAATTTCAAGGTCACGGGGTCAAAAATCACAGTGTATTTAAAAAGGCCTTGTCACAGGTAATACACATTTGTAATATGGAAGCCCTATTTCTTCTCATTCAAAAGATATGACCAGGGTTAAAGTTCTTGTGACGGTCGGACAGACTGACAGAACTAAAGACTGACAGAGAGACAGACGAATGAAATTTAATGTCTCCTCGCTTTCACGAAAGCAGGAGGCAGCTGTTCAGTTGTTATGTCAAAGTACTCTTCGAAAAAGTTGCTGATTTTTAGGTCACCCGAGTCACTCCTGACCTATTGCTATCCGTTTTCGTCCGTCGTCGTGCGTGAACATTTTCAACTTCTTCTCTGAAGCCGCTCAACCTATTTCAACCAAATTTGGTATACAGCATCTATGGGTGAAGGGGAACAAAAGTTGTGAATTTTATGGTTCCCGCCCACTGGGGCCTGAGGGGTGGGGCCAAAACCACTAAAATTAATAAAATATTTAAAGATCTTCCTTTTGTACTCCTGGACATCAAGCAGTCAAACTGTTGGCATGAATGTAATGAGCATTGAGTGTTCTACCAAAAATATGAAATTCATGACCCCAGAGTCTGGGGTTCTAGTGCTACGGTGGGGCTCTATTGATTATATATTGAAAATGCATTATTTCTTTGATAATCTTATTCTCTGCTCCTGGGTATTAAATAAACTAAGTAAATAGTTATGATGAGCAAAAATGCCAATTACAAAATTGTGAATTTTATGGCGTCAGGGTCAGGGGTTCTGGTGTTAGGGCGGAGCTCTATAGATTATATAGTGAAAATGCATTATTTCTTTGAAAATCTTCTCTGCTCCTTAGTATTAAATAAACTAACAAAGTGCATACTAGTAGTTATAATGAGCAAGAGTGCCTCTTCCAAAATTATGAATTTTATGGACCCAGGGTCAGGGGTTCTGGTGTAAGGGAAGGGCTCTATCGATTATATAGTGAAAATACATTAATTCTTTGAAAGTCTTCTCTGCTCCTGGGTATTAAATAATCTAAGTACATAGTTTTGATGAGCATTGAGTCCTTTACCAAAATTGTGCAATTTAAGGCCCCAGGGTCAGGGGCTCTAGTGCTAGGGCGGGGCTCTATAGATTATATAATGAAAATGCATTATTTCTTTGAAAGTCTTCTTCTCTGCTCCTGGGTATTAAATAAACTAACTAAGTATATAGTTATGATGAGCAAGAATGTTTCTTCAAAAATTGTGAATTTTATGGCCCCACGGTCAGTGTTTCGGGGCTCTATTGATTATATAGTGAAAATGCATTAATCCTTTGAAATTCTTCTCTGCTCCTAGGAATTAAATAAACTAATTAAGTATATAGTAATGAAGATCAAGAATGCCCTTACCACAATTGTGAATTTTATGGCCCAAGTGTCAGAGGCGGCTCTGGTGTTAGGGTGGGGTTATAACGATTATATAGTAAAAATACATTAAATCTTTGAAAATTGTCAGTCCTGCATATTAAATAAACTAACTAACTAGTTATGATGAGCAAGAGTGCCTTTTCCAAAATTATAAATTATATTATAGTGAAAATACATTAAATTTTTGAAAGTCTTCTTCTCTGCTCCTGGGTTTTAAGCAGATGATCTACCTATATAGTTCTGATGAGCAAGGTCCCTTTTTCCTTATTGTGAATTTCAAGGCCCCAGGGTCAGGGGCTCTAGTGCTAGGGCGGGGCTCTATAGATAATATAGTGAAAATGCATTATTTCTTTGAAAGTCTTCTTCTCTGCTCCTGGGTATTAAATAAACTAACTAAGTATATAGTTATGATGAGCAATAATGTTTCTTCCAAAATTGTGAATTTTATGGCCCCATAGTCAGGGTTTCTGGTGTTAGTGCAGGGCTGTATTGATTATAAAGTGAAAATGCATTAATCCTTTGAAAGTCTTCTTCTCTGTTCTTAGGAATTTAATAAACTAATTAAGTACATAGTAATGAAGAGCAAGAATGCCTTTACCACAATTGTGAATTTTATGGCCCCAGTGTCAGAAGCTCTGGTGTAAGGGTGGGGTTAAAATGATTATATAGTAAAAATACATTAAATCTTTGAAAATTATCAGTTCTGCGTATTAAATAAACTAAGTACATAGTTATGATGAGCAAGAGTGCCTCTTCCAAAATTGTGAATTTTATTGCCCGAAGGTTAGGAGTTCTGGTGTTACGGTAGGGCTCTATTAATCATACAGGGAAATTACATTAAATTTTCTTCTCTGCTCCTGGGTTTTAAGCAGATGATCTACCTATATAGTTCTGATGAGCAAGGTCCCTTTTTCCTTATTTTGAATTTCAAGGTCCCGGGGTCAGGGGTATCATAGAGGAGGGGGGCTCTACTTATATACTGAAAATGAATGAATATTTTGAAATCTGCCTCTTGGTATTAATCAAACATTTTTGATAAGCAAGGGTGCAATTTCAAAAATTGTGCAATGTGTGGACCTAGGGTCAGGGGTTCATGTGTGGTAGGGGTACTACTGATTTTTGCTGAATATTACTGATTAGTTGAAATGCATTTTTCTTACCCTACACTGCCTATGGGTATTAAGTAACCAAACTAAACAATTGCTATGTGTATAGTTATGATGAGCAATGCATTGTGAATGCCATAGCATCTAGCTGAAAACATGAACCAAATTCAATCACTGGAAAGTAGTTGCAAGATGCTTAGGTGACCTACAAATGTATAAGGCCCATGGGTCTCTTGTTTTATAGAACTACATGTTTGGGTATTTGAAAGATTGAAAAAGAAACAAATCTCATGTTTGACTTTATTATTTTTTTATTTATTCTAATTACAGTACTAGGAGCTCATTCTCATTAAACAATTTTTTATGAATTTTTGTATATTGAAGGACTGATTTGGATGAAAGCGAAACATCCAGAGGAATCTTTGATTGACGAGAGAAGTTTTTTTAATTGAAATTTAACTCTGTTCTGCTTTAATGTAGAAATATAACTGTGCTGCATTGTATTGCATTATAATGCTTGAGGGCATGTCTAATTTAAATATGCTTAGTCAATTTTTATAAATATTAACAGTGAAAAAAATATATTAACTTTCATGTTTGAATGAGTGACCATTTTGAAACTCAAACAATCAAAGAGCTGAATAACATGTAGAGGAATGAAGAGGGCTTTTTATTACTGCTAAGCAATTCTTGGTAAATGAGATGAACTCACAATAAGAGCAAACTTAACTTTACCGTTATTATTACCGTTAAGTACTCTGAACGTTAGACTTGCTCAATTGTGAGTGACTCTCTGAAGTCTTATATAATGTAGAGGCATGCTATTGGTTAGCTTTTCCTAAGCATTTGCATAATATAAAAGCAGACATTTTTGCTACGTTATTCGAAGGGACGTAATTTGAGTTATCGACCTTTTTCCAAACTTCATGCAAATTTCCAAACACAAAATCAATGGCAATTGAAAATTGTATATAGAAGATGAATTTGAATGGTGGATGTAAAATGTGCTTTTTTAAATATAAGTACAATGATGCCATTATTGTATTGAGTGGCAAATTGTCCACTCAAAATCAACTTTTGACCTGAAAGGTATTTTATACCCCCCTTCGAAGAAGGGAGGGCATATTGCTTTGTCGGTCGGTCGGTCTGTCGGTCCATTTAGTTTCCGTTCATTTTCTTCGCAACCGTTGCACATACTGAAATCAAATTCGGTATATATAGATATATCATGAATATCTAGGTCAAGTTCTGTTTTGGGTACAATCTCACCATTTTTGACAGAGTTATGCCCCTTGGACTTGGAAAAATTTCAATTATTTGCAGTTTCCGCTTATTTTCTTTGCAACCGTTGCACATACTGAAATCAAATTTGATATACAGATATATCACATTAATATCTAGGTCAAGTTCTGTTTTGGGTACAATCACACCATTTTTGACAGAGTTATGCCCATTGGACCTGGAAAAATTTAAATTATTTGCAGTTTCCGCTCAATTTCTTTGCAACTATTGCACATACTGAAATCGAATTTGATATACAGATATATCACAGTAATGTCTAGGTCAAGTTCTGTTTTGGGTTCGATTGCAGCATTTTTGACAGAGTTATGGCCCTTGGAGTTTGAAAAAAATTCCAATTATTTGCAGTACTGTTCATTTTCTTTGCACCCGTTGCACATACTGTGATGAAATTTAATATACAGATTTATCAGATGAATATCTAGGTCAAATTCTGTTTTGGGTACAATCGTGCCATTTTTGACAAAGTTATGCCCCTTGGACTTACAAAAAAAATCCAATTTGGGGGGAGGGAGGCATAAGTGTTTTACAAAAATCTCTTGTTTTTTTTATTTTCAGGTATTGTTGATATATGATTGTTCTCTTTCTTAGGAACCTCAATTAACAATCAGTTATTATGTCAAAGAACTTTGCGACAAAGTTACTTGTTGATTATTTTTTCATTGAACGATTAGACTGTTATGGGCAAAATATCCAGAATCCATGACATATGAGTATATTTTTTAGTTTGCAAGATAATCAATACTGCGTAGAAGCATGTTATCAATATGATCTCTGCATATTGCAAAACCCCCTTGTTCTATATTTGTCACTGACCTCTTTAAGCTAAGGATATTTAATTGACTATATATACGCTTATTTTTGGAAAGGATATTCTTATCGACCTATTCTGTTGCTGATATTTGACCATTTCCGACAAATAAACTGTTCTTGTTATAAAAATTAACTTACATGGAAAGAAATATAAAACTCAGAAAAAATCTTTCAGCTTTTGTGACAGAACGCTACGGAAGGGGTCACGTGACCGCCTATATCACCTGATTCGCGCATGAGCAGAACGGTGGCAGATGTGCATTAAATCTGAAGTGGACTAATCTAAAAAATAAGCAACATTGAAACCACATATTGTTTCTTTTATTGAATTTATTCAATTAGTTCGCGAACTTTTTGATCACCCCTCGTATAGTCGATCAGCAGTCAACGGGTGTAAGCAAAAAGGTTAGTTTGTTTTTGCCTTCTGTCATAAAAATTAAAGTATTTGCATGTTTGTTGACGGATTTAACTGGCCTTTTATAAGGTGGCTGGAATATCAATAATTTTGTGTAATATCATACACTTTAATTTATGGTTGTGGAGAAAAGTTAATTGTACGACGAAAAAAAGTTTAAAGCGGAGCGACACTGAAACTTTATCTCGTCAGAACCAGCATTTACATACCAGCTGAATGAACCGTAAAAACTGCGTAGAAAAGTTTGAGAGAACATGTCAATTGGATTAAGTTTTGCCCTGCGTGACCACATCGTAACCAGTCATAAAATTTGTAGAAAACCACATTTTTGTTTACAGATTACTTCCAAATTGGGAAAAAAGAAAACATTTTTAAATTTTGGTACAAAATGCAAATATCTACACGCATACCTCTTTTAGAACTTAAAAGTCGTTAATCGTTCAAACATTCATTTGCGCATCTCCTATTTTGTAATGTTTTGTTGACATTGATATTGATTGTTATAGGGCCTACCTTTAAAAAATTGTTCCTATACAAATCTATAGTAAAAAAGTCCAACATTTCTAATGTTTTACTGTGCGGGCATAAAAAATCGCAAGAGGTTACATTACGGAAGAAGTGCAAAATACATGTATGTAAAAAAAAAAAAATAAAATGAAAGGTATAACAAAACATTTATTGACTATGTGGGTTACATCACGGAAGAAGTACAAAATACATTTATGTAAAAAAAAAAATTAAAATGAAAGGTAAAAAAAAAAACATTTATTGACTGTTCTCGGGCAAAATGCGTTTTGTCGACCCTCGAACCTAATTGTCTCCCTTCGTCCTAACGGCCTCAGGCAGACAGTTAGGATCTTGGGTCCGACAAAACGCATGTTGCCCTCGAACTCAATAAATCTATAATACTGTTCGACGTTGTCTCCATATCGTTCATTTTATAAATATATGTGATTTTTTAAGATTTTCAAATTTTTCTCTTATAATACACGTACATGAGATTAAACATTTCTTAGTCCCCTACGGGTGAAACAGGAGGGGGAATATAGGTTTCCTCTGCGTCTGTCCGTCCGTCCGCCTGTCTTTCCCCCATGTCTGTCAGTCTGTCCTACTTGGTTTTCCGCACTTTTTTTTCTAAACGCTTGCAGATATTAAGCTGATTTTTTTTTTCAAAATAACACAGGTATGGGTTGCGTTGGAAGTTCACAGTCCACGCTTGTTGGGATACCCCCACAGCCTCCCTATCATGGCGCCCCATGTGAATACCGATTTGAGAACTTCGAAATTACTTACGTGGAGCAGTTTAATCTGGCATTTATGCCCACTGCAGGCAAGCCATTCATGACCTCGGACGAAAAGGTTTACAGCGTCACTTTGGGGTCATTGTATGACCTTGGATTCCGTTTGTTGACTTTTTCGGTTATTCCAGCTTCGCTCAAGGTCAGTGGGGTTTTTACAGTTAATGTCAAGCACACGCAAAAGTATCAAGGAATCTGTAGGAAACTGCCCGAGGACGAATTACCCCAGCAATGGTCACTCAAAGTCGTCAAGTCCTATTTGCCCTCTGAAGTTTTCACTCATGGGGTATTCCGAATGGGCGATGGAAAAATTACTGCCGACGCCAATCACATATTTCAGACAATCACGAACGAGGCTGCAAACGGGGCTAGGCTTCTTTGTATTGAAATAACAGGGTTTAACTCTCAAAATGTAAAGCAACACGGAGCAACAAGCGCCGCTGCCGGCGCCTTTGATGGCCAAGGTGCTATGAATGTTTGCTTCTCTGGCCAGAGTCCAGACATGAGTAAGTATTTTTATTTGTTAGTTTAATTGTTTTTAATACCGAAAAGAATCTTCAAAAATATTTTGAAGGACAGCAAGCAGACAAGACAGATGAATCACTATGGGTAAAAAATAAACCAACTATTTTTCTTTCATAAACCAACTATTTTTCTTTCATCGATACACGAATACGCTTTTGAAAAACACGTATATCTTATTCAAAATGTACAATCCATTGTACATTCACTTTTAGCTATTTTACCCATTGTTTCCAAGTACATGTATTAATTTTCTCTGTCTTTAGTTCCAGGAGTGGACATCTTCTTTGAGATACCCCGGAACCCATCCTCCAACCGATACATTTACCAGTGTGTTACAATTCCAATGAAAATCACCTGGACAATGGCCATGGCATTGGGAGGAAAATGGATTGTCGAGATGAAATGGGTTGGTGTGACGTCACAGTACCTTGGCACGGGTTGGAAACTAGTAGACATCTTCATGGACCAAAACAATAGAGGTTTCCGGGATGGGTTCACCACGTCCAAAATAACGATCAACCAGAACTGCGTATTTATTTTCGAAAAAGAGCAGTCGAAGCTAAACGATAACAAACCAGTGTACGAAGCTACAATGGTAGAATACAACGCCCCCGGTAAAATGGGTGGAATTGGTACCGCCACGGCGCAGTTCAACCCGGCATGGGAACCAGTTCTTGGCCAGCTTGGAACTTATGGATGGGAGCTAGTCAAAATTTTAGACACACCAGCAATAAAAATTGACGGCGGTGGATTCGGCTCATTTTCATATAAAAAGGTCATGTGGATGTTTTTGCATCGAAAAATAGTTGCTGCTCCACCTGATCCCTCCGGTGGCGCACCGACTCCAGCGGAACCACCAAAATAATCGACAGGTGTAAAACTTTTCCGAACTTGTCTTACTGTGATATCTTCGCGTCTATTGGACATCTACCTGCAACTAGTTACTCTATCTGTCCTTTCAAACTAGTCGCCATTCAACAACTCACTAGGTCTTGTCTGTGATATTGTCTATTGAATCTCTATTTGGACTTGTGTCGGCTTCTTCTTTATACAGGCACATTGTATTTATAAAGGAATGAGTAAATTTTACCATGCATGTAATATAGCAAAATGTCCAAGATTTGGTGCCCTCCAAATGAGAAATGATTTATTAATTGTGTCTGCGAGTTGTAGACAACACAGAAAAGCAGCAGCATTTTACTGCTCTGACATTTTTGGCACTCCATTTTGCATGTTTCATTATTTTGTAAGAACATGTATTTCAGTCTCTGGAATGATTAATATTTCACATAATTAAAGAAACTACCACTAGATTTCTTTGATCTAGTTTATATAATTATGTGTAAGTACAGAAAGAAGAAAAAAATACTAAGTAATGCAAAATGTTTTAAGAGTGTTACATGTAATGTAGTAATATTCATGTAACAAGAACGATATACACTTATACGTAAAATAGTCTCTTTTACTGGAATAACATGGAATCCTTTTTTTCAATATCTATATATAATTACTAAATTCAGTATATATTCCTTATGCTAAAAAGAAAAAAAAAAACGATGAGTACCGGATATAAGAAAGAGCCATAGCTGCCTTACCGACGAAACGGCCGACTCAAGTATTTAAAAGGAAATCACCTGTTTCAATTTTTATCTTTATCACAATTTAACTGCACTTTATGGCGCTGCAATGCCGATCAAATACAATATAGAATTAATCCAATTTTGTTTAATTTTATGGGGAATTTATGGGGAGAAATTGTTGAAACTAATACTTTTTAAAGATGTTAAATTCAGTTTTCTTTTTTAAAAAGTTTGGAAAACAGACTTGTTATTTTCTTTTTAACAATGCCATTGTAATATGCATTTTAAAGGTCTTTCAACAGAGTTACGTATTGCTGATTTTTGTCAAACGACTAGTTTGGTTGTATGAAAGATTGAAAAAGAAACAGTTCTCCTTGTTGACTGATGAGTGAAACCAGAAGAGAAAGAGAAAAGTACTTAAGCAGTTGGGAATTGAAACTTTACAACAGCATTAAATAGAATAATGATCCTTGATCAAGTCTCTTTATGTTCTTAGTGTAGTCTACTTACATGCCACATTACATTATAATCAGACTAAAAATGTATTTGGAGTAGCATTTTGAGAGCATTTAAGGTAAGGTTTGCGTCTCCCTCCAATTCATATTTTTTAAAATCTGCACACATGTTATATATCAATTTATTCAGGGAGATTACCTTCATCATTTCATATGATTTTCAAAGAAATCGCCCGTCCCATTTTTTTAATAAAAGACGCCAAATTTAACGTATTTCGTATTTCACCTCGAATATTATTTTCATTGAAAAAATTGATTTATTTTATAAATTATCAAACTCAAATTATTAAATTGACCTGAATTAGTATCATTCATGCTTCTATTATTTAAACTTTTAATTTTCCATTATCAAAAATGTGATAATTTGGGTAAAAAAGAAGATTTTTCAATTTTCCTTCATAAAGTAAATCTGTTGCCATGGCAACAAAAATATAAAAATCAACATTTTCCATATCTACCGATTCCATCAAAATCCATGAAGTTATTAATTTGATCATTTTCATTAAATTGAACTGAAAAAATATGTATGTCCCCAATATTATTTCCATGGAAACAAGGGCTATATTAGGGTTCTGAACATAAAAATCATGCTTTTTCTACACTTTGAAAGACAACATTGATATCACTTTGTCATGGAGTACTCATCAGACTAAATGTTATTTATTATATTGTTTTTAGGCATAAATTGGCCATAAATATTCTAAATAACACTCCATCTGTGCTACATGATGGTATAAAAATTTATTTCATGGAAGAACTCTAGTATTTATGGCAATCTTTGCATCTGAATATTCTGATGAAATTGTCCATAAATTATACTGCAACACCTTTTGAAGTATATGTATATAAACATACTTCAGAACGTGTTGCAACTAAACCAATTAAGATCCAATGAATTTAAACTCATGCATTTAGTCATTCCAACATGTATTATTTTCTAGACATCTTTGTAGCAATTTAGCAAAATATCTGTATTCAGTTATGGCTGGCGACTTTGTCATTATACATGTATGCCATTCTAGTGAAATGTAAGCATTGCATCCACGAAGCTGCTGTTTTTATTATTTGATGATTTCTTTACTTCGAAAAGTAGAAATGCTATCTTTAAAGTAATGTTTGTTTGCCCTCTCTTGACTCAGGGTAAAATTATTGGGTCAGTAGGTGAGAAAATCTTCAACATATTTTTTAAGGGAATAGGAGGAATAAAAAGAAAAAAATTACGGTCCTGTATTGAAAAAAAAAGTTTTGAGTCTGGCCATTTTAGTCAGTCGGTCGGGAGAGGCCAGCAACCAAACATTTTTTTAAAGACGGCCTAATCTATTTCTACACTTCATGGACATTAGATCAATCATTGAATTACTGGTAGTCTGAGAATCTAAATTGAAATGTCTGAAAGTAAGAACAAAAAAGATAAAATTCTAAGTGACATCAATTCATACTTTAATGAGTTTACAGAGTACTACTAATTTCATAGAAAAGGCAAATTCTGCAAAATGACATAACGTTACACTGTCGTAAATATTTGTCAAGAACAGGGGAAAAGAAAAAATGCTACAGTGACAGATATATCCCCTGGACATCTATGAAATAATAATTTAAATAAAACAAAATTTTCTACTTTATAAAATCTAAATAAATAAAAAATCAAAAAATTATAAATGTAAACAATTTTAAAAATGAAAAAACCTTACAACTTACTAGACAGGACGTTGTAAAAAACATTAAATTTTCTTCTATACTATCTATAGACATAATAAAATATGCATTGGGTATAACAAGTCAGAAGTCTTCTCCAAATCTCCATTGATATAACCATATCTGGTTCAACACCTTAGCTTGATCCATCCAACTTTCTTTAATATTCTTGAGCTGATATAGGATGACCTCTACTTTGACTGATGACACAAATCTTTTAAGGAAACACTGAAGTACTTTTTCTTGGTTCTTAACTGTTCCAATTAATGACCCATAATCTGAAACCATATGCGTTCATTTTTACAATAACATTTAAGGAAGGAGAAAACTCAATGAAATGAAAAATCAATAAATTCCCAAAAAATCAATGAAGAATCAATATGGAACTACTGTATAGGGGATAAATTTCACGGGTTGTTATTTTCACGTTTTTCTCTTCTTTGGCACAATCACGGTTTCTTGAATTCACGGAATTGGTATATATTAAAAGTTTCCTCCCTTATCTATACCTATTGAAAACTTATTCACTGTTTCTTGAATTCACGGATTCATTAACACCGTGAATATAGCGAATATTAACACCGCGAGCTATTTTCCCCCTATACAGTATTGTAAAATTTACAGAATGAATTAGTTAAATGCAAATGTTTGATAAAGAAGGTTCTTTTCATGCACAATCTGTAACTCTTTTTTATTAATTAGAAAATGAGATATTAATAAAATTCAAACTTCATTTACAGAAGTTAACTTGAACGGTTGAATGCATGTTCCAATGTTACAAATGTTAGGCCTTAAAAAGCAAGGATTTTATTTTTCATAATTTCTTGGAAGACTGCTTTTTTTGGCAATGTTGGGATATTAGTGAATTTAGTCACATCCTGACACCCTCCCAGGGATGGGGTAATTGAATAAAGTAATTGTAATTGAGTGTAATTAATTACATTTTTCAGAGTAATTGGAAGTAATTTATATTTGAGCAAGCCTTCAATTACAAGTAATTGAATGTAGTATTTAAATACATTTCAAAAAAGGCCATGTATTTTCAATTACTTTTCAATTACATTTGAATTACTTTTTTTTTCGAAATGAAAGTTTATATTTAAAAAGGGGTCTTATACTGATACATAGTTTTATACTGGTGAGTTTATATTACCTATTCCCATGTTTTATAAATCCCAGTTCTCCCTATTCCCACTTGCAAATAATAATGATTCTTTAGATAGTTAATTTGTTTTACAGCAATTAGACTAACTACATCCCCTTTTAGATTTACCTGTATTCTATTCAAATAATGAATGGAATTGTGATAGATTTTATTTATTTCCTTCAAAAATATGGATTTGAGAAAATAACAAAAAAAATCTTGCCATACACCATACTGGTGTAGCATGGGCTTGTGTTTGTACAATAATTAATTGCCTCATAATGTTTAATTTGTTTATACAGTGTGTCACACTCATTCTAGGTCTAATTTTGACCAGGTGTAAACCCCCATCATACCCAAGAACAATCAAAGTACTGCGAGTACTGAAAGACGGTGGCATGAATGATTTTGTTTGTTTAACACATTTTCGAGAATAAAATTTTTAGCAGCGAAGGATATTTTTCTGGCTAGCAATTACTGCGACACGGGATCTCAGTCTGAATTAAGGGCCGATATCCATGTCACGCAGTGGGAGTCGAATCTGCGACGTCGGTATAAAAGATGGACTTCTTCAGGTCCGTGAGTCCAAAGCAAACCTGCTACTTCAATGGCGACTGGCAGTATATAAGAAAAAAATGTTTTAAGATTTTGTAAAATGATATGGAAATTATAAAAGTTTATTTCAATTTTTCACAATATATCTACCTGTATTTTAATATATTAATTTATATTTTTTGTACTAAAAAGTATAAGGCGTTATGAATTGTCACTGTTTTCTAAAATTGTTACTATCCTATTAAAATTTTCATTAAAAAACATAGCAAATTTCAAATAGGTATATGCATAAATAAACAACTGCAAATTATCAGATTTCATTTAATGTGTTTTGTCGCCTTACGACACACGGATGATAATGATGTCAAAATGTCTAAAGCAGCGTCAAGACGACACAATAGATAGTGAATAAAAAATAGGATAATGTTTTCCAAATTACTATTTAATACTTTTATTTCGAAACAATACTCATGTATTATTTTTAAAACCGTTTTTTTTTTCGTGCGTAAGTACATTGAAGCATGTTAATGAAGTATT